AGCACCAGGAAATCAACCATTAGATGATCTGCCATCATCAGAACAACTTGCTCAGTCGGCGTCCGAAAATGCTCTCACAGAAGTAAAGAGTGGACTGTGTTTTCTGAATTTTAAGCCCAGTGCAAAACCGTAGCATTCACATTCAGTATTTCAGATATCACAAAATCCGTTTGACAGACAATCACTAATGGTTGAATTGAATGTGCTTATGTTGCATTAATTATTGTAGGCTCTTATCTGACTATCTCCAATGAAGGCAGTAAAAATTCTTGATTCTTTTGTTTGTGCCAATAGTTTACTCTGCATGATTTAGATTGAGTGCAGGCTCTAAAGTCTGAACTTCAGAGCAATTAAGAACATAGAACTGTGCCAACGGGCGGTAACCTCATCAATGTTCCTCAAGACAAAAGACAAATCAAGGGACTTCGAACTTTCGTCAACAGCTGGATTTGCTCAATTGGTCAATTTCTTTTGGTGATATTCATCCTGAATCTTTCTTATGGCTCTTTTCTTCAGTGTCAGCTTCAGGCCTTCAGCAATTGGCAATACTGCAATAGCCAATAGGCTGCAAACATCATTTGTTCAGTGTCACCTTCAGCAATACGTATGTATAGCTTGAGCAGAACTGCAAAATTCAAACCAACCTCACCTCGAATTTTGAAGCTATTTTTTTTCTAAATAACTTTCATATCGAATCGCAAAGATAAGATATTTCATCAAACTTTCCGAAAAATGGGAAACTCACCAGATCTTTCCGCGCGCGAGCGCGAGGCTGATCCCGCGAAGCCGCCGCCTTTAAATAGCCTCCTATCCGTTGCTCTCCCATCCCCATCCCCTCCTCGATTCAAATCGTCTCCTCTCTTCCCAACCAAACCCTCCTCCCAAACCCTAGAAATTCCACTCCTCTCCCGCGGATCTCCCATGGCGTCGGCGGCTGGAGATGGGCTCCCTCCGGGGCTCAAGTTCGAGCCCAAGGACGACGAGCTCGTCGCCCGCTTCCTCCTCGCGCGCATCCAGGGTAAGCCCCTCCCTCTCCACGGCGTCATCCTCGACGCTGATCCCCTCTGCGCGCCGCCATGGAGGCTTCTTGCGGATCATGGCAGGGGCGATGAGGCGTTCTTCTTCGCCGACGCGCGGGCCAAGAATGGGAAGGGGAGCCGGCAGAAGCGCACGGTCGAGGGCGGAGGGTACTGGCAGGGGCAGAGGATGTGCGTCGATGGTGAGAGGCTGGTCGTCCCCGATGGCGGCTTGGAGATCGCGTGGCGCAAGTACGTCCTCAGCTACTTCGCGGATGGCGAGAAGGGGAGCTCGGGGTGGGTGATGCACGAGTACGCCATCACGACGCCGGCTGACCTCGCGTCGTCGACGATGCGGCTGTATCGCATCCGGTTCAGCGGCCACGGCAAGAAGCGCAAGAGGGAACCGGAATCTCAGAGCGCCCACCACGACGACGGTCGAGCGCGCTGCGCCCCACAGATAGCCATGCCCGAGACTGCTCTGCTCGAGGACAGCGCCCCGCCGCCACAGCCCGTTCTTCCTCCTGCTGCGGTGGTGAACTCTGTCTCTGATGGCGCCGTTCCTCCTCCTGCACCGGTGGTGAACTGTGACTCTGACGTCACCGATGAGGATGAGTTGCAGAGCTTTGTGCCTGAGTTCTCCGCGCGCAACCTGTTCGTCTCTTTGCCACAAGGAAGCCATGAAGCTGAAGCGGACGTAGTTGGTGGCGCATTGCCGGCGCAATCTATGTCGTCGTTTGCTGATGTTGGAGGTCCAGAGAACATGGATGACCAGAGCTGCTCCGGCGTGGTGTTTGCTAATCTTTCCGACCTGATCGTCTTACCACCGGTGGAAGCCAGTGGCGCAGCACCCGCGCCATCTTGGGCGTCATCGCTGGACAATCAAAACGACGAGGCGCCTGTGTTCTTTGAGTTTCCAGAGAGCATGGATGACATTATTGGCTGCTTTGACTTCGCCACCATGGACGACCCGAGCTGCACTAGCGCCATATCAGAGGAGCCCTTTCTTCCTCCTGCAGCAATGGTGAACCATGACGATGGCTATGCCTCTGACAACGCCGATCAAGGTTGCTCCGGCGCCGTTCCTCTTCCTTCAGCAGTGGTGGACCTTCCCAATGAGACTGACGGCGCCGATCAAAGCTGCTCCGGCGTGGTGGACGATTCATCCATGGTGTTTGCTAATATTCACCCGTTGGACTCTCCAGCAGAAGGTGGCCATGAAGCCGAAGCCGGTGCCGGGGGTGGCCGTGCAGCACCAGCGCCGTCTTGGGTGTCATCGCTGGACAACCAAAACGACGAGGCGCCAATGTTCTTCGAGCTTCCAGAGAGCCTGGATGACATGGTTAGCTGCTTTGACTTTGCCGCCATGGATGGCCAGAGCTGCACTAGCGCCGTGTCAGAGACTGCTCTGATCGAGGAGCTCGTTCTTCCTCCTGCAGCAATGGTGAACCATCACGATGACTCTGTCTCTGACATCGCCGATCATGGCTGCTCCGGCGCCGCTCCTCCTCCTTCAGCAGTGGTGGACCTCCCCGATGACTCTGACGGCGCCGATCAGAGCTGCTCCGGCATGGTGGATGATTCCCTTCCCGGGTACTATGAGGCTGAGCTGAAGGTTCCGCTTGAGTACGCCGCGCGCAATCCGGTCGACTCTCCCTCAAAAGGCGGCCATGACCATGAAGCCGAAGTCGACGCCAGTGGTGGTGCAGGGTCCATGATGTCATCGCCGGACAAGGAGAAGGAGCACTCCTCATCGGGCGTCATGGACGTGGAGGCCACTGGTTTTGGAGTTCCAGACAGCATGGATGGCCTGAGCTGCATCGACTTCGCCGAGACGATGGACGACCTGAGCTGCATCGACTTCACCATTGATGATGAGCTGTTCGATCTATGGAGCTAGAGATGGATTAGCAGTGACATTGTCCTTTGTAGAAATAAAGAGATTCTTCTGTATATGTAGAAGCAGAGATGTATTTATTAGCAAAGCTGATAATCATTAGCTGTTGATAGGTTGAATCAAATGTGCTTAAGTAGCACTAATTGTATTATCTGATTATATCTAATGAAAGAAGCCAAATTGTTAATTGATTATTCTTTTAATTCCAAAAGTGTACTATGAATGAACTGTATTTAGTTCAGACTGCCAAGTCTGAACTTCAGAAAAGTTCAGACATGAGTTAATCGATTCTTGATCATGTACTGAAAATGTCAAGTAATTGTGAACACCTAAATTTGAGTCACAAATCAATTTAGGAAGCTGATGTATTAATCTCCAGCAGTTAAAGCATAATAGGCAAACATTATCGTCATCAAGTAAGTTGCTTCAAGATTGTCACTCCACATACTAACTCTGCCGTAGCATTGTATTCAGCCTGTGTGATTGATCGTGAGACAGCGTGAGCACCAGGAGATATGAAGTTAGGTACAAGGCACAGTACATTTCCATTAGTTGATCTGGTGATGATCAGAAAAATCTGCTCTGTCCGTGTTTGAAAACGGGCTGAAAAGAGCTTGACTGCATTCTCTGAATTTTGAACTCAGTGCAAAGCTGTGCCTTCAGAAGTTCAGAGTACTAACGCACATCTGTAGGAGCTTGTAAATACTAACGCACCCTGTCATCATCAAGTATTGTAGCACACCAGCACCAGCAGTAGTCTAGTATAGCTTCTGAAAGTCTGATGTCTGAACATGACATAAAAGTGGCAATCTGTTTGGCAAATACCTGTCCGGTGTGGCAGATCAATGAGATACCTCTTTTCATTTATTTGTGCCAGCATCAGTTCATCACCAGATAGCTTATTTGCTTCAATGCTCAGAAAATACGACAGCCCACATATATCCTTGATTGCAAACTCTGCTGCAATTTTTCTGAATTCGTAGAATATCAGATTGTCCAGATGAGCTAGCAATACAAATCCACATAGTCAAGGATATAAATGGTGACAATAGATTGATGGAAGATCAAAGATACAAGTATCAGCTTTGGATACACTACTGATTCATTAAGAAGAAATGGATCATTACTGATAAAATGGCTCATCTGAAATAAGCAAGGATTTATAGGTTAAAACAATAGCCTGCTGCTGACAGACAATGTTCAGAACAAGAAGCAGATTGGGAGGCAGTTTCTCTGTGAAAGTGAAACCTATTCCTGGAGAGGAGCGGTTCTTGGTGGTGAGAATTTTAGTACATGACTATTACTCAGCTCTTTCCCTTTCTGTTGACGGATTTGCCAATGTTTACATTCACCTATGGATGTCCATTGGACAGCTCTGAAACGAATTTCAAGGTATCTGAAGTATCCTGTGGATATTGGGCTGCATATTAGACAGTCAAGTTCAGGGCTTCTACGACCTGAGCTGCATCGACTTCACCATTGATGATGAGCTGTTCGATCTATGGAGCTAGAGATGGATTAGCAGTGACATTGTCCTTTTGTAGAAATAGATTCTTCTGTAGATGTAGAAATAGAGATGTATAGGAGCTTAGTCCTCTAACGGTCACTGTATTTATTAGCAGGCTAAGATCATTAGTTGTTGATAGGTTGAATTGAATGTGCTTAAGTAGCACTAATTATTATCTGATTATCTGCAATAAAGGCAGTAAAATTCTTACTTGATTCTTTTTTAATTCCAAAAATGAACCCTGCACGAGTTGGATTGAGTTCAGACTCTCAGGTCTGAAGTTTAGAAAAGTTCAGGCTTGAGTTAGTTGATCCTTGTTCATGGACTGTACATGTCAAGTAATTGCGAACACTTGAATTTCCCAAAACTCATTTTCATTAGCATCCAGTTTAGGCACAGAAGATGAGCAGAGTACAGTTGTGTTTGATGTCTTCTGAATTACACAATATTCTGTTTGAATTGAATACAAGTGACTGGCAACCGGCTGCAAAAAGAGTCATTTCCAGAAGTAAACGAGAATATAGTACAGAAGATTCGAAATGCAAATTTCACATATAACACAGATCATCCTGGTATTTTTCTTGAATCAAAATATCAAATTGCACATAAGTCACACTAGCCACCCAACAAGCAGCTGAAAAGTAAGGTTGCAGTTCCCCTAAATTATGTCAGATACCAGAATGTATGCTGACAGGTACACTCTACGTTATGTTTACATAAGAATGTACAAAATAAATAAATAAAGACACCTACCATCTTCAAGAATTTGCAACAGCTTTGCTGGCTCCAATGCAACATGAGATCAACCCCAGCATTTTATGGTTGTGTCCAAAAATGACTTCCAAAACCAAAAGCAATAGAAATGGTTTCCTGCATAAGTGATTAACTGCAAACTGAAGTGTGTAACATAATATTACAATGCTACACCATGTCACCATTTTGTAAACTCAGTAGGCTTCCTGTGTACATGCCAACTTCAGCAAGATGTCTCATCTTGACTTCCGCAAAACTGCTGGTTCTTGGATCATATATGAGCAGTAGTCCTGTCGATCCTAACCATATGAGTATCCTCCCATCATCTAATACCAGCAATGGCTTTACATCGTACTCAAGAACAGGGATGAACGATTCAGTCTGAATGCTATATTCTTTAACCCAGGCACGGGTCTCATAATCGGTTAGAAACCATAGGTCCATGGTTGAACAAAACCGCTGGTGATGAACTAAATAGCCTTTCAACTCAGCCAGACAAAGTTGATGCCAAATTGAGAAATACTCCTGTGGATCAAAATCACCGTCGAATACAAAGCTGCTGCTAATTGGCCCCTGGATGTCTTCCCTCCATTCCTCAGTCTCAAGGTCAAAAGAAAAGATGAAGTCTGGATGAATGCCAGCTCCCAGTCCACTAATAATCATAGCATCATATAGAGCATCCATCAAGAAGTACACCACCCCATTAACGACGACACCGCTGTTCGCCTTTTGCATCTCAACAAAGAACTGACGGCTCTGTTTTCCCCTCCAATGTGCATGGCCTTGGCCTGTGCCACCCTTGACTGTAAAGACCTCACAGAGCTGAGGGAGCTCAAGGTCTGTAAATCCGGGACGGTTGAACATCCGGAGCACCTTGTACTCTCCCGTGGAGGCGTGTTGGTGTAAATATGTATTGTACCAAGGACCTATCTGTAAAGTGTTATGCTAATAGAATAGATGAGGAAGGGGTGAGCTGAGAAGGCTAACCCTAGAAAAATTCCCCAAATTGAACAATATGGTATCAGAGCGGGTCGCCGGCGACTGGGGAGGTTGAACCCTAGCTGGCGAGGTCGCAGCGGCGCGGCGCAGCGGCGCGGGCCGAGGCGAGGTTGGCGCGGCGCGACGACGCACGCGCGAGGCCAGCGTGGCCGCACGCGGCAGAGACGGTTGGTGGCCGCGGCAGGAAGCGGCGCTGTGCCGGCGCAGGACGGCAGCGCTGCTAAGGCGGGACGTGGAGTGAGGAAGCGACGGTGTCGACGGCAGGGAGCACCAACGGCGACAACGCGTGCGGAGGGCTAGCTGGTGACGGCGTGTGGCAGAGGAGCAGGTTGTTGCTGCTGCTGGTGAGGTGTTGGTGCTGCTGCTACTTGAGAAGGTGAAGTGGGCGCTTGGCTTGCTGTTGCTGCTGTATTTGCTGCTGCTGTGCTGATTTGGGGAAGAAACTGAGTACTTGCTGCTGTGCTGAAAACTGAGAAGTAGTGCTATTGCTGCTGTTCTGTTTTGGTGAGAAACTGAGGAGTAGTGTTGTTGCTCCTATTAGTTGATTTGGCTAATATTTGATCTGCCATGGGGGATTGAAGTCTGGTCCTTGTTGTACCTCTGTTAATGTGGTAAAGAAGAAGCTAAGGGAAGAAAAAAAATGTCTTCTGGGGAGGGAAAGGAGGTTGTGGATACTTCCTTGCTTGTTACTAAAGGTGATATGAAAGGTTTGCTAGAGGATTTGCTGAAGATGGGCATGATAGGTCCTAGGAATGCGGCTGGAGTGTCTGCAGTGAAACTAGAATTGATGCCAAATGAGTTGAGGTTGGAGGGGAGCAAAAATTATTTGAGTTGGTGTAGGAGAGCCCAACTGATGTTGAGAGCAAAAGGGATGGATCATTTTTTACTAGAGAGTTGTGAAGAACCTTCTGATAAGGAGAGCCAAGCATGGAGGACGTGGAATACTACAAATTCCACTGTGGTATCTTGGTTGATGACCTCGGTGGCTCCTTCTATTGGCAGGATGATAGAAGCTATCCAGAATGCTGCAGTTGTATGGAAGACGCTGAGCAACATGTATTCAGGAGAGGGAAATGTAATGATGATGGTTGAGGCTCAGAACAAAGTGGAGAATTTGAAGCAAGAGGGGAGAACAGTCCAAGAGTATGCTAGCGAGCTGCAACAGTTATGGGCAGATCTTGATCACTATGATCTCCTACAATTGAAACATGAGGATGACATTGTGATTGGAAATAAATGGCTGCAGAGGCGAAGAGTCATTCATTTCTTGAAGGGGTTGAACAAGGAGTTTGAGGATAGGAGAGCAGCTATGTTCCACCAAGCTACATTGCCCACTATGGAAGAGGCCATTTCAGCAATGGTGCAGGAAGAGATGAGATTGAGGTTGATGAGAGGTACAAATCCTATAAGATCAGCATACATTGCAGCTGATAATAGGGAATGCTACAATTGTGGGCAAGTGGGTCATGTGAGCTACAATTGTCCCACTTCCCGGAACATTGGTGGTAGGGGATCGATTCGAGGAGGGCATGGTGGAACTCGTGGTGGATTTAGAGGAGACCGTGGTGGTTTTGGGGGAAATCGTGGTGGTAGAGGAGGTGATCGTGGAGGTCGTGTTGGAGGTCGTGGTAGGGGCAGAGGTGTTCCTCAGGCCAATGCAGTTAAGGAGGATGGGAAAGCTGTTACCCTAATAGGTGAACAAGTGACACAATGGGAGGAATGGCAGAAGAACAAGACCAATGAGAGCTCTAACACCACCACTCACTTTGGTAACTTCGCCAACTACGCCCAAGTGGGCGAAGGTACTCAGGCACAGGCACTTGCATCTACATATAGACATCCTATAGATTGGATCATAGACTCAGGAGCATCAAAGCATGTCACAGGATTACATAATACTTTCACATCATACACCCCTTATATCCACTCTGAAACTATCCAAATCGCTGATGGTACATCCAAGCCTATTCATGGTATAGGGTCGGTAGAGTGCACATCATCAATGAACTTGTCTTCTGTTCTGCATGTTCCTTCCTTTCCAGTTAACCTTCTCTCAGTTAGCTCGGCTATTGATCAACTCAAGTGCATTGTTGTATTTGATGAGAATTCTTGTCTGTTCCAGGAGAAGAGGACTGGGAGGAGGATTGGGACTGGAGTCAGGCGTGATGGGTTGTGGTACATCAATCATGAGGAACTGGGACTAGCTGCGGTGGTTGGAGATGTTGAGAAGGAGATCAGTTTGCTTCACTGTCAGTTAGGACATCCATCTTTTGAGATTTTGAGTAAGTTGTATCTAGACCTCTTTAGTAGAGTGGATAAGCATAGATTGGTGTGTGATGCTTGTGAGCTTGGCAAACATACTCGCTCTACATATGTTGGAATCGGTCTTCGTAACTGTGAGCCCTTAATATTAATACATTCTGATGTTTGGGGACCATGCCCAGTTACTTCTGTGAGTGGTTTCAAGTGGTTTGTCACCTTTATTGATTGTCACACTCGTATGACTTGGATTTATATGCTTAAACACAAAAGTGAGGTCCTTCGTTGCTTCCAAGACTTTCATAAATTAGTGACAACTCAGTTTGATGCAAAAGTTAAGATTATTCGGACTGATAATGGAACAGAATATATCAATAATGAATTTGTGTCATATGTCTCAGATGAGGGGATTATTCACCAGACTACTTGTCCTGGCACCCCTCCTCAAAATGGTGTAGCTGAGAGAAAGAATCGGCATTTGCTAGAAGTGGCAAGATCTCTGATGTTCCAGATGAATGTACCAAAGTATCTATGGAGTGAGGCTGTGATGACAGCAGCATATCTTATCAATCGCATGCCTTCCAGAATACTTGGTATGAAGTCTCCTGCCGAACAGTTATTGGGTAAGCGAGAGTTCAAGGTTCCTCCAAAGGTGTTTGGCTGTGTTTGTTTTGTGCGAGATCACCGACCTTCTGTTGGCAAGTTAGATCCTCATGCAGTAAAGTGTGTGTTTGTTGGCTATGCTTCGAGTCAGAAGGGGTATAAATGTTGGGATCCCATTGGGAGAAGACTGTTTGTGAGTATGGATGTGACATTTCGTGAGTTTGAGCCCTATTATAAAAGTAAAGGAGATCTTGACCAATTTCTTGAGGAATTCTCGACTGTCATGGAGGTTGATAGTCGAGAGGGGGAGAGAGAGAGAGGTGACATACATGAAAAAAATGTTGGTGACAAGAATGGAGAGGCAGTAGTGATTGGATCAATACCATGCTCTATTGATGATGCGAGTAAAGTAGTGGAAGTCATTGAAGATACACAAGATGAGGATAGAGAAATGGTCCCTCATGAAGAGGATGGAGAAGAAGGAGAAGTAGTTGTTGGGACAATTCCATGTCCTATGGAGGGAGCCGAAAGGGTGAAACAAAAGGATGTGCTGGTTTACCAAAGGAGGCGGTTTGATAGTCAGGGGGAGAAAAGAAAAGGGTTAGTGCAAAGTCAAATTGAAGAGTTACCACACCCAAAATGTCCAGTCCCTGAATCCTCCCAGAGTCTCTCTCCTCCAGCCTCCTTGGCTTCTCTTGAGACAATTGGTAATACTTCTCCAACTCTTGAACATGTAGAATTACCTCTTGCACAACGTAGAGAGACTAGATCCAATGCTGGTAGACCTCCTATACGTCTTGGTTTTGAGCATCTTAGTTCTATGCATGACATTGCAAACTATATCACATATTCTCATGTTTCACCAGCATACAAAACATTTATTGCATCATTACAGACAATGCCTATACCAAAGGATTGGAAGTGTGCAAAGCAGGATCCAAAGTGGAAAGATGCAATGAAAGAAGAGTTGAATGACCTTGTGAAGAATAAGACTTGGGAGCTTGTAAAACTTCCACCAGAAAAAAGGGCAGTGGGATGTAAGTGGGTCTTTACAGTGAAGCAAACCCCTGAAGGGAAGGTGGATAGGTATAAAGCAAGGTTAGTCGCAAAAGGCTACAGTCAAACATATGGAATTGACTATGATGAGACATTTGCACCGGTGGCAAAAATGGGTACAGTGAGAGCTTTGGTATCTTGTGCGGTGAACTTTGGGTGGCCCCTTCATCAGCTTGATGTGAAAAATGCATTTCTCCATGGTGATTTACATGAGGAGGTCTACATGGAGATCCCTCCAGGATTTGGGAATAGCCAGACAGTTGGAAAAGTATGTAAACTCAAGAAATCCTTGTATGGGTTGAAGCAGTCTCCACGTGCATGGTTTGATAGGTTCAGGCATGCAGTGTGTGATATGGGGTATTCTCAGTGTAATGGAGATCACACTGTCTTTTACAAACATAGGGGGACACACATCACCATCTTGGCTGTGTATGTTGATGATATAGTGATCACTGGTGATGATGTAGAAGAAATCAGGTGTCTAAAGGAAAGGCTGGGAAAGGCATTTGAGGTGAAGGATCTTGGTCCTCTTCGCTACTTCCTTGGAATTGAAATTGCTCGTTCATCAAAGGGGATTGTTCTATCTCAGAGGAAGTATGTTTTGGATCTATTGACAGATACAGGAATGCTTGGGTGTCGTGCAAGTACTACGCCTATTGATAGGAATCACCAATTGTGTGCTCAATCAGGTGATCCCGTTGATAAGGAAGCATACCAAAGACTGGTGGGACGCTTGATCTATCTTTGCCATACAAGACCTGATATTTCCTATGCGGTTAGTGTTGTGAGTAGGTATATGCATGATCCTCGAACTGGTCACTTGGATGTTGTTCATAAGATTCTCAGATATCTGAAAGGGACTCCTGGAAAGGGATTGTGGTTTAGGAAGAATGAGCATCTAAATGTGGAAGGATATTGTGATGCTGATTGGGCGAGTAGTATGGATGATAGAAGATCTACATCAGGTTATTGTGTGTTTGTTGGTGGTAATCTTGTTTCTTGGCGAAGCAAAAAGCAGGCAGTGGTGGCTCGGTCTACCGCAGAAGCAGAATACAGAGCTATGGCTTTGAGCTTGAGTGAGATGTTGTGGATGAGGAGCTTGTTGACTGAATTGCGAGTGCTAAGAAGTGACATTGTGATGCTTCATTGTGACAATAAATCAGCCATCAGCATTGCAAACAACCCTGTTCAGCATGATCGCACTAAACATGTGGAGATTGATAGGTTCTTCATTAAGGAGAAGATTGATAGCGGGGTGCTTAGTTTGGAGTATATTAAGTCATGTGAACAACTAGCTGATTGTCTAACAAAGGGGTTAGGTCCTAGTGAGATTCAATCAATATGTAACAAGATGGGTATGATTGATATCTTTTGCCCATCTTGAGGGGGAGTGTTGGTGTAAATATGTATTGTACCAAGGACCTATCTGTAAAGTGTTATGCTAATAGAATAAATGAGGAAGGGGTGAGCTGAGAAGGCTAACCCTAGAAAAATTCCCCAAATTGAACAATAAGGTGATACGCCCAAATGCAAATGAGGTGTAAGGTTTGCATAGGTGGGCATGGTACATGTGCTCCTCTGCTGGATTTTCAGGCAAATCGTATACAGCTCCGGTGGCCGGATTAAGCACACGGCAGCTGTTCCAATTTGTGGCTACACAGACCAGATCGAGGTGTGTGCACAACACCTTGTGGCCAACCGGGATTCCTATCGTCTTAAGCACATTGCCTACCAAATCCATGATATGAACATGTGCCTCGTCGTCTCTAAATGTGGCCAAGAGGAGCGGCTGTCTGTGGTGAGCTGCGTGTGCCTTGATGAAAAGGGGATCGGAGGTCAGGGACCGCCATGCCTGGCAGATAACACGGAGGCAGCAGAGCTCCTTGGCTGGGAGCCGCACCAGGACGTCGAACAGCACGTCCAAAGGGAGGATGCCAGAATTTGAGGAATCATGCATCTTCCTGGCCTGTTCGGTTAGTGGGGAAGAACACCTCATGGCCATCTCCAAAGCCTACAAGCATTCAATATTTAGCATCAGGAAAGGAGAACACATGTGCGTACAGACCAGGGTTCACAAACCCAACGAAAACCTGATTTCCTGGGACGGCTCGATAACACAAAACCACTCAGTTTTTCCGGTCAAGTTAAAAAAATTCAAACTAGAATTTAATTATTTTTTTAACAAAGAAAAAGCGTCCGAATTACATTGGTTTTTGCCGGTTTACATATATTGTGAATCCTGGTACAGACCAACTTGATGAACTTTGAGACGATGGGTGGAAACCGATCTTTTCCATACAAATGATGCTACTTTGATCGTTTACCATTTATAAAAACTAATTTCCTCACAAATGATGCTACTTTGATCGTTTACCATTAAAAAAACTAATTTCCTCGAAGTTTATGAACAAATTGATGTTTGGAACAAAGTTAACTGGGGCAATGGCCTGTTCACTTTGATGCCATTTTCAACCTTACCAAATTTTGGTAAAGTTGCCAAAAAAGTGGCTACATTTAGTTTGCTGCCAAATTTTGGTAACTATATAAAAAATCATGCCAAAATTTTGGCAACTATGCCAAAATTTTGGTAATGCCAAAATTTGGTAAGGGGCCTGTTCACTTTGATGCCATTTTCAACCTTACCAAATTTTGGTAAAGTTGCCAAAAAAAGGCTACATTTAGTTTGCTGCCAAATTTTGATAACTATATAAGAAATCCTGCCAAAATTTCGGCAATGCCAAAATTTGGTAAGGTTTTTTTTGGCATCAAAGTGAACAGGCCCAAGGTTTTTTTGCATCAAAGTGAAACAGGTTGTAAATATCAAACTTTCAATTATATATGTTCTCTAACACAAAAGGTTCGATTCTACATATTCTAGGGTTTCATTCTATATACTCTCTGTCTCTCTAACACAAAGGGCTAGGTAAGTGTAGAATCTGAAATAAATCCCAACTCGGCAAAGTGGAGGTGTGATGGCCTCATCAGATCGATGCCCTAATAGAGGCTGAGCAGCTGAAATTTCGTGTTCCAGAGAGAGAGCGCTCACCAGGTCGGGCCGGCCGCGAGGGCCTCCGCCGTGTCACAACCTCGTCGCCGGCGAGAATCTCGCTGCCACAACGAGGATGAACACAAGATGGATTCGAATTTCAGAGAAGAGAAGAGAGGCAGAGGAAACAGAGTTTGGGGAGAGGTTTTGATTTCATTTCTTCAGACTTGTTTTCCAACTACAGTTCACGGGGATTATATACTACTCCTTCGCGTTTCCGCCCTCACGGCCACACACTGAACTCACACTACACATTTACTTAAGTCGCTTTCTTTACACAAAAACACCTCAGCGTGATTACGCTTCCTTCTCCTGTTCCTCGTCCGTTGTCATAGCCTGTGATATGACATTGCCGCCCGCTGGAGCACAGGCTTGTCCCCAAGCCGGCGCCAAAGGAAATCTGGTGCAAAGAACTTCATAATCCTCCCACGTAGCAAAGTGATCTTGCAAAGTACCCCAAAGAACCTTGACTTGCACCACAGCTGCATTCCCTTTCTTAACCATTTGCCGGTCCAAAATCGCAGTAGGAAGCAGCTCCACCTCATCCAGCGCCACAATGTCCGGTAGCTCCGAAAAGACAGGGACTGACGAAGGAACAAATTGCTTAAGCTGGGACACATGAAACACTGGGTGCACCTGACTTGCCTCCGGTAATTCCAGACGATAAGCAACTGACCCAATACGCTCCAAGATCACAAAGGGACCAAAATACTTCATAGCCAATTTGTGGCAAGGACGATTCACCACCGAATGTTGAGCGTATGGTTGTAGCTTCAGATAAACAGAATCCCCCACAGCAAAAGTGCGAAAAGTGCGTTTAGAATCAGCAATTTGCTTCATATGATTCTGAGCACGGGCTAAATGATGCTGAAGAATGCTAGAATAGAAGGTGCGTGTTTTGAGTATTTCAGCAGCATCAGCCGATTGACCTTCAGAATCTCCCTCAGATAAAGACGGCAACAATCCATAAGAAGGATCAGCACCATATAAGGCTTTATGAGGTGAACACTGTAGAGATGTGTGAAAACAAGTGTTGTACCAAAATTGTGCCAAAGGAAGCCAGACTGCCCACTTGCTAGGAGTGTTAGAAACTGCACACCTGAGATACATCTCGAGACATTGATTAACACGCTCAGTTTGTCCATCAGATTGAGGGTGATAGGTAGTGCTCAAATTAAGAGGAATATGAAATCTGCCAAACAGTGTCTTCCAAAAGTTACTAGTAAACACTCGATCACGATCAGAGACAATTGACTTGGACATCCCATACAACTTTGCCACCTGATCCAGGAAGACTTCAGCCACTTGAAGAGCCGAAAATGGATGTTTCAGTGGTAGAAAGTGAGCATACTTAGTGAAATGATCGACCACGACCAAAATGGTATTCTTGCCCTTAGAGAGAGGTAAACCTTCGATGAAATCCATCGAAATATCCTGCCAAGCCCCAGCAAGAATAGGCAACGGTTGCAATAGTCCAGGGTACTTGCAATGCTCATGTTTAGCAGCCTGACAAGTGGCACATTGTTGCACAAATTCCGCCACGGCAGTTTTCATACCAGGCCAAAGAAAAAGTTTCTTCAAACGCTGATAAGTAGCCTGAATCCCGGAATGTCCCCCTACTGGAGAAGAATGAAAGGTTGTAATCAATTTGGTCTGCAACCCCGAATTAGCCCCAACCCATATTCTGCCCTCTTTCTTAATGAGACCATTGGACAAGGAAAATCCTTTAGCATTAGGATTGACAACTGCTAATTCAGTCAAGAGTTGCTGAGCTGCAGGATCCACCACATAGGAGTTAATGACCTCCTGAACCCACTGAGGTTGAGTCACTGAAACAGATTGCACAGCAAAGAAATGCCCCACCCGAGACAATGCATCAGCTAACTTATTATCAACCCCCTTCTTGTACTGAAACTTATATTGAAGACCAATCAATTTAGTCATGGCTTTCTTTTGTAATTCACTCCCCAATACTTGATCATCCAAATGACAAAGGGACTGGTGATCAATTTTAATAGTGAATGGACCCCGGATCAAATAAGAGCGCCACTTATCAATTACCATCATAATGGCTAAAAATTCCTTCTCATAGATAGAGAGCTTCTGATTTTGAATACCCAAAGCCTTGCTATAAAAAGCAATAGGATGTCCATCTTGAGACAACACAGCCCCAATACCAGTGGCACAAGCATCTATTTCCAACAAAAAAAGGCCGAGAAAAATCAGGGAGAGCCAGTACAGGAGTTGTACACATGGCAGCCTTCAACTGTTGGAAAGCTGCTTCAGCTGCAGCAGACCATTCATACTTCACATGCTTATGTAAGAGCAAGGTGAGAGGTTTTGCTATAATGCCATAGTGCTGCACAAACTTGCGATAATAGCCAGTTAATCCCAAAAAACCTCTCAACTCAGTGGTGTTAGTAGGAGTGGGCCACTACTGCATGATCTTAGTTTTGTCCGGATCAGTAGCAACCCCTTCTGCTGAAATGATATGGCCCAAATATTCCAAAGATGTGGCAGCAAAAGAGCATTTACTCAACTTAGCGTATAACTGATGTTGTTGGAGCAATTGCAACACTAATTCCATATGGTGGACATGAGAGTCTAAATCAGGGCTATAAACCAATATATCATCCATAAAAACGAGCACAAATTTCCTCAAATAAGGAGCAAAGATGGAATTCATCAAACATTGAAAGGTGGTTGGTGCATTAGTTAAGCCAAAGGGCATCACCTTAAAGTGAAAATGCCCATGGTGTGTTTTGAATGCAGTCTTCTCTTCATCCCCTTCTTTCATACGAATTTGGTGGTAGCCACTGCGAAGATCCAGTTTAGAGAAAAATTTGGTGCCAGCAAGTTCATCTAGTAACTCATCCACAATAGGAAGGGGAAACTTGTTCTTTACTGTCAAAGAATTAAGCCTTCTATAATCCACACAAAACCTCCAAGTATTGTCCTTCTTTTTAACTAACAAAACTGGAGAAGCAAATGGACTACAGCTGTGAACAATCAATCCTGAGGCCAACATCTCAGTGACCTGCCTCTCAATCTCATCCTTCTGGGCAGGTGAGTATCTATAAGGGCGAATGTTAACTGGGGAAACTCCAGACAGTAAAGGGATAGAATGATCAAATTGTCTCTGGGGAGGTAGAGAAGAAGGGGTCTGAAAAATCTGATCATACTGATGAAGTAACTTGGTGACAGCAGGTGGCAGTGGAGAAACAGATGAAGGTGCAGGAACAGTTTCAACCACAGCCAAGGCCCAAATATCATTACCAGCTTGCCACTTACACGGTTTATCAGAAGTAACAGCAGTGAGTTGCTGAAGGGAGTGAGAGACAATACCTTGCAACTTAACCGTTTGTGCCTGATAAGCAAAAGAGAGACACTTCTCAGCCCAATTACACTGCATAGGGCTATACTGAGACAGCCAATCCATCCCCAACACTGCATCATAACCTCCCAGATCCAAGACCTTCATAGAAGAGACAAAAGTGTAACCCTGTATCCACCAAGTAAATGCAGGAACTTGAGCAGAACAGGTGAGCAGAGTGCCATCAGCAATTTTCACGGTGGCAGGATCACAGGATACCAAAGGCAGCTGCAAACGATGACAGAGATCTGCATTGATAAAACTGTGAGAACTGCCCGAATCAACCAAGATTAACACCACCTGATTTCCCACCAAAGCTCTCAACTGCAAAGAATTAGCAGAACTGGTACCAGCCAAAGCCTGGACAGATAGTAACATACCATCATCAGGAGGAGTATCCAGGTTGGTAAGAGCATCCAGCACACTATCATCAAGAATTTCAGTAGTGTCAGTCAATTCCATGGCCTTCAACTGAACCCCTTCAACTTTGCCACACACATGAGTAGGACTATACTTCTCACCACATTTGAAACATAAACCATTGGCACGACGATAATCCTTCAGTTGTTGAGCTTTCCACAATTCCCTCAGAGTAGATTTCCCTTTATCCCCAAATTTACCAACCCCAGTATCCTTCTTGACAAAGGATTTATTTAACTGTTGAGCACCTTCAAAAGCCAGGGCTGCCATATAAGCTTGAGTGACTATGACAGGTTGCTGAGCATGTACATTATATCTCAATTCCTCTTTAAGACCCCGAATAAACTGAGACACCAAAACAGAGCCCTGAGTAATAGCAGGATTATACAAGCGAATGTGGTAAACCAACTGATTGAACTAGGAGCGATATTCAGTAACAGTACTAGTCTGAGTCAGAAGCAACAACTCATCCATTTTGGTTTTCTCAATGTGCAGCTCAAATTCAGCAGCTATAGCAGTGCGCAATTGATCCCAAGTCGGCCACCCCATCTCCTGTTTCCAAGCTTGGTACCAGTGCGCCGCATCCCCCACTAAATTAAGAGCAGCCGCAGACACCCGAAATTCATCCACAATATTATAGAAACGGAAATAAGTCTCACAGTTGTCTAACCACACGCGAACATCAGACCCATCGAATTTAGGAAAATCCATCTTTGGTGTCCAGTGACGACGCCCCCCCGACTCATCAGAAGGACGAACAGGTGGAGTAGGCGCGGTAGTGAATACCTGATGAGACGGTGCAGAGTGCACATGGGTAGGGGACGGTGGCGCCGAAGATGAAGAAGAGGCCCCATCCTTAGTAGGCGGCTTCGGAGGTGGAGGAAGAAGTGGAGGCGGTTGCGACGGCAGAGGTGGAGTCGGCGGTGGAGTTGGTGACGAAGAAGCAGACGTCACCGCCTTGAGAGCCCGCGCGACCTGAGCTTGCTCATGCTGAACTTGCCCGAGAGAAGACATGGACAAATCCACCTTGCTTTGGACCGAATCCAGCCGCTTCCCTTGAGTTTCAAGCTTGAGGTCGATCTGCTTAAGCTGCTTGCAGAGATTGTCGACCCTCTCCACCTTCGTCACCAACACTGCAATCGCTTGAGTGATGTGTTCCTCCATCGCATCCATAGCCGCCACAACTTGACGCACCTGGACGCCTTGCTTCGCCGGAGCCGTGGTGACTACGTCGAAGAACCAGATCGAACCAAGCACGAGATTAACAGAGAAATCCCCGAAGATAAATCCCAAACTCTGATGCGAGGATTTACCGAGCTGAACAACGAAGCAGAACCCCCCACGCCACGAACGAATCCAAATCTGATACCAAGTTGTCACAACCTCGTCGCCGGCGAGAATCTCGCCGCCGCAATGAGGATGAACACAAGATGGATTCGAATTTCAGAGAACAGAAGAGAGGCAGAGGAAAGAGAGTTTGGGGAGAGGTTTTGATTTCATTTCTTCAGACTTGTTTTCCAACTACAGTTCACGGGGATTATATACTACTCCCTCGCGTTTCCGCCCTCAGGGCCACACACCGAACTCACGCTACACATTTACTTAAGTCGCTTTCTTTACACAAAAACGCCTCAGCGTGATTACGCTTCCTTCTCCTGTTCCTCGTCCGTTGTCATAGCCTGCGATATGACACGCCGCCGCCGCTAGGTCGATGTGCCGCCGGCGCCGGCAGGGAGATCGGAGATGGCGCAGCGCGGAGGGCGGAGGGCGACGCCGGTGGGGAGTGTGACGTGTTCGTCGTGTTCTTGAGTTGCCACTATGTTTATATGGGCTTTTCATGGGCCGGGCCTAAACGAGGCCCAAAAGGAAGAGCAGAATGGTCAGTTACAGTCAGGTTTACAATTTCAACAAAAAGAGACCGGTCAGTTTTCACGAGATCTCGTGATTTCGAGGAGGCTGGATTTCGAATGATTTTCTAGAAATATAAATTTGGTCATTAAAATGAATTGAAATTCAACCGATATTTCGTCAAATTTTCTAGGTTTCTGTGCAATTTTTATTCGTAGCTCACTGCATATTCTCCATCATTGTTTTATTGTTTTAGAACAGTACTAGCAGTAACAACTATCGAGCTCAACTTAAAGCCGAATCGTAGTGTAATTAAAACTAATTCGGATCCGAATCGTATAAGCAAATTCATATTCGAATCGTACATTCCTATATATTCAATCATGTTGCCCGCCTCGCCTGCATCAACCTGTAGCTAGCTAGCTTCCATAAATTAAGCACGTAACGGCACAAGCCTAGACTCGGGCAGCTACTCTCTTCGTTCCAAAATAAACAAAACTAACAAAGAACCAAGGAAGTAGCTTCTTGATCTAGTCAGAACTCGATCTACGCATCTGATCTATGCAACGTACAGTGGCAGCCAACTGGCGGTATGGGTGGAGTGGTTTTGTCTGACATGGAGGTGAGCATGATGGAGCAGGGGAAGACAACAACACTGCCGCAGAAAGTGAGTGTCACGCCCGAGCATGAGAGGCCAGAAGCTTTGTTGGACGCCAACTTGAAGATATTGCTAATGGTAAGCTTGTGTTCTATATATATACACTCCCTCCTCTCCGTTTTTTGTTTGACGCCGTTGATTTTCTAAAATTTTAAATTTGATCAACCAATTTTCTTGTAAAAAAATTATGTAATTATTGTTTATTTTGTTGTAGCTTGTTTTGTTGTTACAAGCACTTTAACCATGACTTGTGTTTGTACGAAACTTTTGGATCAGACAATTAACCAAACGTATGTGCAAAAGCTAATGTTGTCAAATATAAAAAAACAGAGGGAGTATAGTATGCCTTGATCTGGAAAATATCTAGTATATTAAAAAAACATCATTAATTATTAATAGGAAAAAGTCCATATTGCTCCCTCAGCTATGGTCATAGTCCGATTATCTCTTAACTAATCTCTCTACTCTTGAAACTATTCGTATTTCATCATTGGCCTAAACCAGGGTGTTTTTCGAAGACATAGCGTCACTTGATATCCTTATTAGAAATTTAAAATATATAAATATATAATGTCTATGATAGAAAGAGAAAACGGAGGTGAGCATGACACATAGATAAGCAGTATTTTTATTTTTATTGTTATTATTTATTATTGATTGGTATGTTGATGCCATCACTAATTGCCTATATGGACTCCATGTAGAAGCCACATCGTTGAAAGTACTCTATTTTTGAAATATAAAAAGAAAATCAATGTAACTGATAATTTTTTTCTTTACAACTCAAATCTTTTTGACTGAAAGTACAAATTTTCCCGTATATACGGTGATCTATGCATATATATATTCTTCTAATCACTCTCTTTTCTGTCCTCATTTTCAGATAATCGTTACGGGCGTATCGCTGGGGGTATTCGTCACTTGCCTTGTGTTGGCTTTTGTATTGGACTTAACTGTGGAGGGTAGGGCAATGGTAGTGTTTACGGCGCTAGTTGGTGTTGTCTACGGAGTGGCAGGCTATAACATCATTCGAGCATGCTAAGCGAAGCCAAACAAACTTTTTTTTCTCTCTTTTTAAGTTTAGTTTAGTTTGACGAACGGTACAAAAATTTCCAAGATTTCCAACTGTCATTTCCACTTTCCACTTTCCGACTGTCGGTATCGGTAATTATCGGTGTCGGAAATAGAAACGGTAATAGCTTTTGGAAATGGTAACGAAAATAGGATGGAGGTTTTTCCGACCGTTTTGTCGGTAACCATATTTGTCTAGTAATTTCCGTCAAAATTCGAAAAGTTCCCTAGTGATCTAGCTAGCCTAACCAACCAGAAGCCTATAAATGAAGGAAGTCTGGTAGGCTTGCAGCCTGTTAGGAATGGGAAGTGGCCAGGGGAAAAGGTTGTTAAGACGTGACATGTGGACTTTGCTAAACTTTGGTCTCCTCAACTTATCGATGCTGAATTATTATTGAAGTTTGTTTATATTGTTCGTCGAAGTTATTATCATATCATTAATCATCATATAATAGTGTTATGTGGAGTGTGATGATGCACGAATGAAGTTATAAAGTTATCTTCATGTATAGTTAAATGTGTGATTATGCCACGCCCCATTGTTTCCGATATGAATTTTCGACTTCCAACTAATATCGATAGATTCCATTCCGACAGTCCCATTTCTAATATACCAATATTATCGATATCGTTACCGTTTTCGGGCCTATCATTCCGATTCCGCTTTCGATAAAAAAAATATAGAAATGAAAATGGTAGAGGGTCGGTTTTCATCCATTCCTAGGTGAAGCCAAAAAAGGGGGTTCGTTTTCCATAAATTTCATGATTTGGGGGGGTGGCTGGATTTCAAATGGTTTTCAGGAAATCCGAATTTGGAAAGTAAATTATGTTGAAGTTTATTCGATATTTGGTCAAATTTTCATGTTTTCGAGAACTAGCGGGGCACGGAACCCTGGTATTCTGAACAGAAGAAGCTCCTCTAACTTAAAATTAGTGGAACATAGGTCCTGACAGGTGAGGCACACCCACATGAGCCCACGTATCAACAACACGTCTCTCTTACTTAAGTTAGAGGAGCCTGCCTAGATCATCCAAGATATCCAAATCAGCATAACAATACCACAAGCACACAAAGATATTGGCACAAACCGATACAACTGATTATGTATATTTATATATATTTCGCAGGGCTGTGAAAGAGAGATCGCTGGCCGATTTCGTTCATCAGAAAGGAAATAAGGAGTTGCAGAGATTTGATCAACCACAGGGTTCAGAAGGTTGTAAGCTAGAACAGCTTGCACATGAAAGAATTCGCACTTCCTCAGATCATCTTGCGATAGTTTACCTAATCTGATAAAGCAGAATACTCTCCATTGATCGACAGCTTCCATGCAACAACGTCAACCAACACACAAAGTTCAGATACCTATTCAAGGCCTGAAGAGAAAGTTCAGATACTTGCCACCGTCCATTTCTCCGGTTTGACAGAAGTGGAGACGATTGGCACCAGGTTAGCAACTGCACCACTGTCTGGGAACCAATCATCTACCCAGAAAGATGTTCCTCCATCCCCCAACTTGATCCTTGTGGGCGTGGCAGTTCTAAAACAGTCGTCGATCGCCTTGTCCCGCACTGGCTTCAGTCCGCACCATGGATGCTCGAGGGTGCTTCCATTGCAGCAGCGGCCAACGCAATTGCAAGGCTGTGCCGAGCATCTGGAGATCTTCAAACCCTGCATTCATATATTGTTAACTGATGGGGTATTTAACATCCGAACACTGGATACAACAGATAGTGTTTAACTGTCTATACTTTCATGATTTCTCCTAACCGTTTATACTTTCATGATTGTGCCCTCTGATACCCTTAGGAAGATATCCCCAAGGTCTGATATTTAATTGATTATTGTTATCATTCATATATATATGCCTGCAGCATAATTATCGACATTTCAGCATGACAGAAATTGTCCAAAAGAATAAATTGCATAACTGCTCCTTTCATATAGCCTAAGTTAGTACTCAATTCTGATATGTTGAGCTTTCAGACTTTCAGTCCTAAATAGCAGTTCTACATTAGTGTAAGCAACACTACCAGATAGTACTTGATATCCTACAGGTTTGGGATCAATCTAGATAACCAACTAAAGTGATATATGCTTAAGTACTATGAATGTTTGTGCGATTTCTGTAAACTCTTTTATGCTTACGCTTCTATTATCCTTACCTGTGGTGTCCTCTTGCTTCCCCTTCTCCTTGGGCAGCACCTCCTTATGTTATCTGCATCATGACTGTGAGCCACGACATCTAACTAGTTACACTCGAGGCCCAAGGCCTATGTCTCAGATTTCCGTACAGCATAACAGCAAGAATTTTGAAGTCCGATTCATCTAATTGGAGTGGACTAGCTGGGACATATTGCTACTTAGCTCTTGTTATATACTTTCTTCTCATATCAAAAGCATCCATATCCAATCATTGATTCCTAGTATAGTATGTACTCTTTCCTTCTGTAGAGCTGTCTTATATATCTTCATGTGACAGAAATATGGTGTTTATAGTTTGGGTATGGTTGTGCTCGGAATTTTGGGAAGCACCCAAGAAATTTATTGCAACATTTGACTTATCAAGGGACCACGATATGACAATTAAGAAAATTCTGGATTCATGACCTTTAGCACCAACAAGAACAGAAGAATAAAACATAGTTTCCCTCATTAAGGTGGCATTTTCTTGCTTGAAAGCTTCCCTGCAAGCAAGACTAACAACGCAGGAAGTCTACCAGATACTAATTGATTATCAGACTTCTAGTTCCCTATCAACAAACTACAATGCACTTCTATTAGATTAACTATGGGATTCATAAGCTTGGTACTCTAGTAAGGATTGCTTCTCCAATTCATTATCATGAATAGTATCTGAGTTTGAGTAAACTAAAAATCATATATTGCATTACCACGAATTTGGTAAATTTGTCCAAAATTGACTATGCTTGCATGAAAGCAAAGTTCATTAAGAATCCCAACATGCACAACCTTTTAAAGTTCAAATGTGGCATAAGATGAAGGGAGCACTAAGATGAGTTGTGCTTCAAGAGTCAAGAGGTACAATGAGTGGCTTAGTAACTAACTAGTAACCGTGCACGTGCATTGCACGTAGTAACAAATGTAAATTAAAACCATTGTGGGAGAAAAATAAGAATAACAGCAAGCAAGTTATACATGCATGGTAGCACCAAAGAATCCATCACCAGAATAAATATATACTGTATATAAATAAGTGAAAGTGCTAAGCCTATTTTATGTGAAACTATACTTGTTTATTACAGTGTATTCCGCACGACTTAACTTCACTACCTCCCTCTTATGACAAAATCAGGATCATGCACACACCCAGTTGCTCACATCTCATACATCCACAGCCTCATATGTGTTGTCAAGTGTCACACCGAGAAGGTCTGTCCAACTTCTTTCGCCTTCAGCACTTCATCCGTCAAGTAAAACACAAAACAATGTATGCCAAGATAAAGGATCAGTATTGATAGTAAAATATTTTCTTATGCACAGTGTATGTCAAGTCAAATTAACATTGACCAAAGAAAATCCAGATTCCAATCATAAAGATAAAGGATATCTCATCAGAAATAGTAAAGGCTAATATTTTCAAGGTCAATTTGATGATCAAAAGATTATTGAATTACAATAAGCACAAGATTCAACTGCTAAACAACTTTGCAAGTAATTCATGAAGCAATTCCGATGACATCACTTTATATCGAAAGAACCATCGTAATTTCTTAAGTTATGTGCCACCAACATTTTTAGGTGATAATTGTAATTTACTACAAGCATTTTTTGGACCGGGTAGTTGGAAACATAAATGCAGAGTCCACTTTGAGTCTAATTTCAGTACCAAATGCGCAAATTTTCAAGTATCTGATGATCACATGATCAAGAACCAGTTCATCTGGAGTATGAACATTTTAGTGTCAAACTTAAAGTGTAAACCATCAAAAGCAAACGTGGAGATGAAAAATTCAAAACATGAGACGACAAGGATTAACCTGTTGGAAATCAAAGATGCCATGGCCTCTGTGAACCATGTGATGCTCAATGGGGATGACCATCATTGATAGGTCACGAATGATTCTGCCAGTGACGCTGGATACATCACTTGGTGTTGCTACTGCTTGGTGTAGTTCCAATTTTTGGAGAACTTGAAAAGAAAAGAACAAGATCATAACTCATAGGCTCATAGCATGTCACTGTAAAGTTGATATACTCTGCAGTAATTTTAACTGCATGAATCTCAAATCTATTACTGAAAAAGAAAATCTTAGGAAGATGATATCTAGGATATGAATAGCTGTTCAGATTCTCACGTCGGACCACAACCCTGTTTCACATCAATCAAATATTACAATTAGGTGGCAGTAAGAAAGAAAAATGAATTCAGGCATGCATGCTGAACTGGTTAACAGGGCTAGCAGTCCTTACTAAATCTTAACATTACGCCTTATGCCTTGATTTGACAACCCTGATTGATTTTACATTTCTATTATATATAGCAATATTTCTGAAAGCAAACACCCAGAAATATTTTAGCAGGCATTTTGATATGGAACTTCTTGGCAGAAAACATTAGAGAGTTGTAAACTAAAGTGCATGTTGTAAGTTCTAATTATATGTGCATACTAATAGTGCTCAACATTTCCCATCTACTTTGCCCAAATTGCCAGCTCAATGCCTTCATTTAATTTCCAAAGTATCTAGTCAACATACATCACCATTTACTGCCCTCCTAACTGCCATGATTAGATCACCATGGTAAGCTGCTATGGTGATGTGTAGTATTTGGAAAGAAGTGTTGCTTCAGGATGACATGTATAGCAACCAAAATGATCCAAAATTGTAAGGGTTAGCCCTACAACACTTGTATTTTGCATAGGTGCTCTGCAATTTATAGAACGAATCAAATAGCCTACAAATATCCTTTACCAACAAATAAACCTCAATTTATCGGCATCAACTCTAGGGTATCCTTCTAAAAGACTCAAAAAAATATCAGTAATTCACAAGAATAGAGAATTGTATAGAATAATTAGAATTATCAAATCTCACCAAACAATCAAAAAAGAATAATCATCCCCAACAATTCACACTCGGCTATGTTGCCAACATGGTTGAAGAGCACTGGATTTTATTTTATTTTATAACGAAAGTGAGACAACACAACTTTTGATTGAAGTGTTCCCATCTATTGAAACAATGGTACAGTAATTCTAATATGTGAGTTGCGGTACAAATATTATGTTTGGAGAACAGGTTGGGTATGATAAATACCAGAAACAAGCCGAGAGAGTGAGTTGGTGTGATATCCCCTTGTGGTTCAGATAATTGTCTGCAAGCGTGTAGTAAACAAATCGTTAGAGAAAAAACATGAATCCAGTAGAAAACAAGTTTCTTAACCACATTCTAATACCAATATAATATAAAGAACTGTTGATTTGTTTATTCGGCAAACTGCAACACATTAATTAATCTGAAAGTTTCATATTCACCCCTTCCAGCCCATATGGCAGAAGAATACATGCAAAAGAGTAGCCAGATTGCAAAATAGAAGATGATTTTGGGCATTTTCACCTTACCTGTTGGTACTTCTGCTTTTTTGTCCAGAAGACGGTGGTCGAGGGAAGGTAGAGGCCAATCATTGCATTGGCGGAGCCTGTGGACGACAGCGAGAAGGGAAACATGGATGTACTCCGGCGGCAGGGACGGGAGGGGCCGACCTCGGCGGCGGCGGATGGGGCTGAGGTCGGATCTGGCCGCGACGGTAGGGAAGAAGCCGGATTTGGCGGCGGCAGCAGAAGATGTCGGCGTGGGCAGCGGCTCCGGTGAGGATGCGGCAGCAGTACGCGCGGGGAGGAGCTCCGGCGACGGCGAGGATGCGGCGGCGCTACATGCGGGGAGGAGGAGGAGCGAGCGAGGAGGAGAAGCGAAGTCCGTGCGTGGAGGAGGAGCGAAGTCTTCGCGTGTGGAGGAGGAGGAGTGAAGTTTGGGCGTGGAATCGTGCGGTGGTGAATTCGTGCGCGCGGATGGACGGTAGGGATTAATCCGAGTGATTTGGCTCGTAGGATTGGAGGGGTACAACTCCTTTTTATATTAGTATAGATATAGATATAGATGGTGGTAATCAATACAAATTGTACTCTGTTTGCAAAACACTATATCATTATTGTTACTTCACTGTCTTCCTTTACCATCCTTTTAAATCTGCTGCTACACTTATTCCTGAGTAAGGCAGGTTATATAGAAGTAAAGGCCCTATCTTTTCATATACTCTTTCAAATAAACAAAAATCATGGGAAACCAGCTATCAGGCAAACGTAAACTACAATGCATAGATAGTTGCTGTGCGAAATACTGCGGGATTTTGAAGTCATGTCAGGAATAACGAACACTTGAACATTCATACTCTGTACAATTTACAATCATGAAAGCCTGGTTACCTGACTGTCATAGCCTCTTCGCTTCAAGAAGCAAGAGATGATAATTCAAGTTTGTAAAAAAAAAAATTAATCCTACCAACATAATGAACTATGGCAACTGGTGCCCTTGTAGGCATTTCACTAGCAATCCGGACCAAACGTGATCAAATTGATCAAACATATAGCAATTCAACAAAGAAGCTAAACTTTTATCTCCGAATCGTTTGTTTCATAGTGCCAATTCACACTAAGATTCCAACTGTACATATAGCAATTAACAACAACACATTTACTCACTTCGAAATTACTCATCGAATAGATAATATATATATATATACCCCTTTCACTTCCATCATCTAAGAAAATATAGATAGCTGTATACATACAAGAAGAAGCAGAAGCAGCAATGGTGGTCAAGCCGCGGCGGCGGTGCCTTCCTCCTCCTTCTTCTTCTTGGCCTCCTCTCCCTCCTCCTCCTTGGCCACATCGTCCTCCATCTCCGCGGCGAGGGACTCGAGCAGCACGGACTTAGGGTTCACCATGGGCGGGCCCTTCTCCCTCCCCTCGAGCTCGTCGAGATCGAAGGTGATGAGCCTGTCCCAGATCCCCCCCTCGAACAGCACCCCGACCTTGCCGTCGGTGACGCGCTGCACGATGCCGCAGTACATGTGGTAGGCGTTGTTGGGGTTCTTGACGAGCACCACCATCCCGGGGAGGAACAGCGGCAGCTCCGGCGCCCTCGGCCGCTCCACCGTGGCGGCGGCGGCGAGACCTTTCCTGTGCGCCGGCTTGGGGGGAGGCGGGTTCTTGGCGACGAAGTCCTTGAGGCCGACCTCGCCGCCGGGGAATCCGCCGGTGAGGCCCATCATCTCCTTGTCGAACGCGTCCGGGTCCACCCCGGACGCAGCCGGCGGCGGCGGTGGCGACTCCGCGGGCTCGTCGGAAGAAGTGGTGGTGGATGGCGGCGCGGCGGGGGAGTCGGAGGCGAGCTCCTTGCGGATGCCGACCTCGCCGTTGCAGAGACCCCGGCCGCCGAGGAGGTCAGCGACGCGGAAGGTCGCCGAGGGAGGGGGCAGGCGGACGATGCGGGGGTGGTGGTGGTGGGGCAGCGGCGGCGGGCGGAGGAAGGAGGCGGGGGTGGTGGGCGCCATTGGTGGAGCAGAGCGGAGCAGAGGATGTGTGGAAGTGACGAAGCCTTTAAAGCCTAGGTGGATGAGGACCGGGGGTGGCTAATGGGCGACTGGTACTGCTATACGGAGTACAGTATATACTTAAAGTACTACTAGTACTACTACCACTGTACTACTTTAAACTACTACTCCCTCCGTTTCATAATATAAATTATTCTAGCATTTATTACACGTTAACATCAATATGAATATGAAAAATACTAGAATGACTTACATTGTAAAACGGAGGAAGTAGTAGTAACTGGAGTACTACTAACTACTACTACTAAGGCTGTGTTTAGATCCAAAGTTTGGATCTAAACTTCAGTCCTTTTCTATCACATCAATCTATCATACACACATAACTTTTCAGTCACATCATCTTCAATTTCAACCAAAATCTAAACTTTACTCTAGAATAAACACAGCTAACTAGAACTAGTACTAGTACTACTAGTACTGGTAACTAGGACCACTACACCACTACTACTGTTATTATATACTACTAGTACTATTTAAAAAATATATTTTATATGTAAATATATACGCATATACAAAAGTTTATATATAACGTATAACAAAGTTTATGATATATATACAAACTTTATATATGTTCATTTTAAAAAATAAAAAAAAATAGAGGAAAACCATCACGTATATAAATTTTATATATACACTATACGCATATATATAAACTTTATATACGTATGTATATAAACTTTGTATACTGTATATACAAACTTTATATATGTGATGTTTTTTTTTTAAAAAAACAAAGAACCGAAGAAAACAACCATAAAAACCGGCGAAAAAAAAAGAACGCGGGCCTCCCACTGTGCGCGGCCGCCGCGCCCCCTCCCCCTCCTACGCGCGCCACGCGTCCATCCGCGCGGGGTGAGGGGGCACGCGACCAGTCGCCAATTAGGAATTTCGGATGAGGACCTCGTGTTTTTCGACTGAAAATTTTACATTTAAGCCCCTTTTTATTTTTTTTCATAAATAGGCCCCTAAAGTTACTATCCGTAAGAAATACTTCCTCCGTAAAAAAAAACCCAACCTAAGAGGAGATGTAGTGTCCAGATTCGTTGTACTGGGAGGGGTCAAATCCCCTCTTAGGTTGGTTTCTTTGGGATGGAGAGAATCACAAAATAACTCAATCTAGATTCGTTGTCTTAGAATATGTAACATCCTATCCTATATTGAGTTATTTTGGGACGGAGGGAGTAGACGACGAGCCCAAATCACGTCAAATGTGGTATAAGATCTTCACAGTCTACCTCTCAGCCAACTCATGTAGTAGTTAGCTCTTAACTATAAACTATATGGTTCCCATGTTTCTCTCACATATTTTCTTGGTTCCTATGCCTAAGCTAGTTTTAAGCATACCACTCGCTTTCCCTCTCTCTCTCCTCTCTCATCCACGTTAGCATTCAACCTTCTAACGGCCTTTTATTATACTTGCTCTTACAGTGAAAGGTACTACTAAGGCTGTGTTCCCTCACCTCTCGCACAGAAAACAGAGCGATGGATTAGTGCGTGATTAATTAAGTATTAGCTAAAAAAATTAAAAATAGGTTAGTATGATTTTTTAAAGAAGCTTTCCTATAGAAAATATTTTTTAAAAAATACCGATTAGCAATTTGGAAAGTGTGCGCGCGGAAAACGAGGAGGAGAGGATGGGAATAGGCAGTGCCAAACACAGCCTAAGAGGAATCTAGTATGTCATATCGGATGAGGCTTCTTTAAAGATTCCAGCACCACAAGCTAGGCCATCCTCACAACGCTGCTTCCCGCCAGATTCCAACTCTCTTCCTAGCTGCTTTTTCATATAGGTTCCATCTTCCCACCTGCTTTTTTTAGCTTTTTTTCAGAGGAAGCACTCGTGTCCATGCAAAGCACCGAGTATCTATGCCAAGGTCCGAGGGCCCACACCTTCTCTTCTCCACGGCATCATACGGCTTAGATGGAGCGGCGAATCCACTCGACATCAAGGCGCACTGTGAACAGCCTCATGGGAAGAGAGATCGACATTAGTCTTATTGGCGCCGAGCCATTTAACCTAGGGGCCAGCCTCTAAAAAGGGCTCCAGAAAAGGATTCATTTCTGAAAATAGTTTTTTAAGATCTATTTATGAAAATAGTCTAAAAGAAAAGCTAAATTGTAAAAATTTCAGTGTTCCTCGAGCTCCTCTGCTTTATGGTCTTTCATGGGCCAGCCCCAAACACACTAATCAAATGGACCGTTCTCCTTTGTGGGTTTCCATGGGCCCTACCCAAACGAAACCTCCAGATGGGCCGTACTCTCGGCTGCCCATGGGCCGGGCCCCAACGGAACGCACGGATAGGTTGGGCTTGGGCTGGATTGGACATGACGCCATTTGAAGGCCCATCCAGACAGCGAGAGCGGCGCCGCGGCCGCTACTTCTACCCGCCGCCGCCTCTCCACTCCACTCCACTCCTCATCCACTCCCTCTCGCCGCCGCCTGCGACCTCGCCGCCGCGCCCGCCTCACCTCACCTCGCCGGAGTTCCCCCACGGTACGCTCCCTTTCCCTTCTCTCGCGCCGCCGTCCGGATCCGCCGTGTCGTAATCACCGCGTTCTATAAGAGGAGGATTTCTCACGATTTGGTGGTTTTACGTAGATCGGGGGGCATCCGGGGTGGGCGATGGCGCCGCCCGGGACGAGCAGGAGGAGGGGGCGGCGTGGTCGTCGGGCGGCGGGCCGGTGCGCGGGGCTGCCCCTCGACGCGCTGTTCGAGATCATGCTGCGGCTGCCGGCGAGGGACGTCTGCCGCCTCCGCGCCGTCTGCCGGTCGTGGCGCGCCGTGGCCTCCGACCGGGCCTTCGTCGACGCGCACGCCTCCCGCCACCCGGGCCCGTACGTCGCCGCGTGCTTCTCCGATGAAGCCGACGGCGGCGACGGCGACGAGTCCTGCGGCGGCGTCGACATCGTCGACCTGTCCTCCGGCGACATCGTCAAGACTATTTACACCGAAGTCAGTGGATCCAGAGTGCAGCGCACGCGCCTCGACCTCGTCTGCCTCGTTGAAGGGCCTAGCCCCTTGGATGTCACCGTGCTGGATCCGGTCACCGGTGCTACCTACATCCCGGCAAAGAGTATCTCTGCGGATAATAAGGATTTGCTGAGTTCAGGCCGTCTCATAATGGAATCCTGTGCTTTTGGGAAGGTCCCCTCTACAGGAGAGTACAAGGTGGTCCGTCTCCTTGGTTCTGGTAATCCATGTGAGCTATACGAGTGCGAGATCATGACCGTGAACAGTGCTGGCGCTTTGCAATGGAGGGCGATACAAGGACCTCAGTTGCCTGTTTGTTCAAGTAACAATATGAGAAGTGTGGTCATCAATGGGGTTGCGTATTTCCTGTTAGATTATTCGAGGCTCTATTGCTCAAATGATGGCTTGCTTATTCGACCAGGTAACATAGTTCCATTTGACCTTGAGACGGAGGAATGGATGGGTATTCTAAACGGACCGAAACCAGTCGCCAGGGGACGGGATATGATTGTTATCTCCTCAACCTTGGAAATTATGGAGCCCCTCTCGCTAGCCGACTTGAATGGGTCCTTAGTGATGGTGCATGCTGTATACGGTTCCCCCATGGACCTGTGGTTTCTGTCAGATCTTGAGCAAGGACTCTGGGTTAAGAAGTACAGCATAGATTTCGAATACTATAATAACAATGCTTATCCTTTGCTGCTGTTAGACGATGAGAAGATTGTCTTCCTACTGCGGGGAACTAATGTTCTACAAAGTTATGATCTAAAGGATGACACATACACTGATATATTGGTGGTGCCAGATTTCAGATCCGTTGGCATTTATACTGGAGATCTATTGAGCTTGGAGGGTGGTCTGAACTGATTATGTAAGTATTATTTGCTGATGTTTTCTTTATATCGCATTGCAATGGTAGCTGCTTTTCAATGGTGGTACTATATTTTTTAAGGCATTTGGTGCGTGGAACAACTCTCCTTGATTTAAGCCTTTTAACAATTAGAGCTTCTCAATGAATGAAAATATACATTAGAAAGAATCAAAGCATACTAGTTTCATGGTTAAAACGGACAAAAAAAATTGTAACTAAATTCCATGATTTCTTCAGATTTGTTTCGGCATGCTTATTGTATGTACAAAGTGGACACTAGAAAAGGTGGTAAAATATAGCGCATTGCATAGATACCCACACCTTTCATTATGCTTTTCTTTTGTGCTACATGGGTCTGTATTTAACAGCTAGTGATTCTCCCTGCAAATGTAGCAATTAATGTTAAATGTTAGACTATACTAGGATCAGTACATGAAAATTGGAGTATAATTGCTGCTGATCGTTGTTTCTGGGTGAGGAAGGATCATGATTGTAAACCAGTTTTATCTTGATCCATGTCTCATCCCTTCCACCTCCTTTTGTTCCTCTCATGTTAGCATTACAATGTAACAATGTGTCCATTGGTTTTAAGGTCTTAAAATTTGAATGTGATTGCTTCAGTGTTCTAAAAATCAGCGTTAGGTGGCAAGTCCCGCTGCGATTTGCACTTAGTCGGGGGGCTACCTGCCGAGGCGGGATTAGGTGGCATTTGGCGCTGCTAGGCAGGGTTTGGCGGGGCTCAGCGGAGGTGGCACATGGAGGTGGGAGGGCTCGGCTCTGCTCGGAGGAGCTCACGAGGCACGGAGCTGCTCGGAGTTGGAGTTTGTCACATCCTGATTTTTGTTTCAGGATTTATAAATTATTTAATAAATTATTATTAGAATTTATATTAAATGTTCATTAATTTACAAGTGAAGTTAAATGTCGGAAATAAAATTTCCTAAATTTAAAGCATGGATGGATTTAATTTTTATTAAATTCTCCATGATTAATTACACTCTCTGAAATTTTCTCGGATTTTTCAGAGCTCAATTCCTAAATGATACAAAGAACAGTTCAGTAATTATTTGATCATTAATGATCTAATTATAATTGTTAAGAGCTTTTCTTGTTTAAAAATCCTTAAATTATAAATTGTTGTCTAAAAGGGAATTATTAGAAATGATCTTAAAAGCCTAGAAGAGAAGATCTAATTTTAATTAATAAATTCCAATATAAAATGGGGCCAGATAAAATTTCATTAAATACTTTACTTGATTCTATAGTTCTTAGATTTTTTCTGGGATTTATTTGAGCCAAGGAAGTATTTTTAATCAATGGAATATCATTTCATGAATAATTTAAATTGAAAAAGGTTTTTGAAAGTCTCTTTTGGCTTTGGGCCGAAAGCCGGCCCAAAGCCTTCTCTCTCCCCGGCCCAGTCGGCCCAGCCCGCCGTCGCTTCCTTCTCTCTCTCGGTGCCGCTGATAGGTGGGTCCCACCTGTCAGGCCCGTCTTCCTCCTCGCGCCGCTGCCGGCCGAAACCCTAGCCGCCGCCGCTTTCCAATCCGGTCGATCCTTTCCGTTTCCGGTGAAGTCGTTTGAGGGGAAATAATCTCCTCGATCTCCTCTTCCTTTTCTCTTATGGAATCGTCGGCTAATTTCGGTTTGGAAATCCGTGGATTCGATCTCGAATCGGATTCGTCTCTCTCCTCCGAACCCTAATCTTTCCTTCTCGTCGCTGGTCGCCGTGGGCCTTCGTCGCCGCCTTCCAACCCCTATAAAAGGACCCCCAAGCCCGCCGCTACCCGCCGCCACTCTCGTCTTCGACTGCCATCGCCCGTAGAGCCCTAGCCCCGTGAGACCTCGTGCCGCCGTCGCCGCCGCAGCTCCAGCCATGCGCCGCCGTCGCTCCGGTCGTCGTCGCTGCTCGGGAAGGTTGCCGTCGTGGTCGCCGTCGCGTCGCCGTCCTCGTCCGCCCCTCCGCCGTTGCTGTCGACCGCCGGAACACCATCGCCATCGTCAAGCCAAATGTCGTCGCCGCTTCTTCCTCGTCGCCGTTGCCGTCCGTTGATCTTCCGCCGCTGTTTTGGTCACCGGTGAGTTCGCCGCGTCGCCCGCATCGTTTTGGTGCTCTCCTTTCGCGCTGTCGCGCCGTTGTTCGCCGGCGAGCTTGCGCGCCCGAGCCGCTGCCGGTGGTGATGTCACCGCTGACGTCATCGTCGTCGTCTCCCGTGGTCCGGCCGTGGACCAGTCGATCTTGGCCGTCCGTTGTGGATAGGATCGATCTCGGCCGTTCGTTTCCTTAGACCGTCCCGTGCACCCGGTTTACCGTGGATCGCCTTTGATGACGCAATAATCCTCTTTTCCTTTTCAAAAATAATTCATTATTGCGTCATAATTCAATTAAAATCTATATAAATGCTTTAATCCGATTTAATCTTTGAAAATTCATAACTAATTCTTTGTAACTCAGTTTAATGTGGTTCAAGTTGCAAAAGTTATATAAAATAAAGATCTACATATTAAAATTATCCATAAATAGAATTAAATTTATTTAATTCTTTTTAAATGGGCTTTAATTAGATTTAATCTTGTAAAATTCGTAATAAATTCATTTGAAGTCAGAATGAGGCCGTTCAAGTCTCATAATTCATCTAAAATCATGATCTACATGTTTGTTTACTTTATATGTATTGTTTATTTGGAGTTTCTTAGTGTTTTCCTTGTTTTGCGTGTTAGCTTGTCGTTTCCGTCGTTTCGAAGGTTCGCGAGTGCGCCGGAAGTATTCAAGAAGATTAATTGAAGACCGATTATTGTAAGGCAAGTCACACAGATCCTAAACACAATTCCTTTGAGCATGTTGATCCTATATTTAAATTCTCTATTTATTTCAACTGTGCATTTATTTTCGAATGTCACCGGGTGGTGTGAACTTATTCCTTTGTTATGGCCAATTTGCATTGATTACTCTATTCCTTGATACCTTGGGTTATTATAACTTGACTAGTTGAGCTTTATATATTGGTTCAGCTAGATATTAGATATGATTGCTTAGCCATGCTTAGAAACATTAGCACACTATTGGGATAACTTATGACTCACTATTATTTAATGATGGCTTAATAATAGTTCACGATGGCCAATCGTGATTGGTTAATTAATTATTTGCCAACTAAAACTTGATAATGGTGGGTTGTGAGCACATGGTTTTGAGAGTCGTGCTCATGACAATTAAGGACCGGTTCGCGAGCTACTGTTGTGAAACATTAACCGTGCCAACCACAAGCCAGCGTGGGCAACGGCTTTACCTTTTGTATAGCATGGTTCATTGCGGAGCACCAGACTGAGAAGTGGCGGAGATAAGCCCACGAGGGTCGCTGGGGAGTCCATGCCTTGTTTTATAAGGGGGTGATTATGATCCAGGAATGGTGCACTGTGGTGAGTTGTGTTGTGCAGAGGGTATTGTCACAGCCTCTATTCGGGTACTTTCCAGTATCGCGACGCATGGTAGACATGATGTTGAGGCTGTGTCTTGTGGGTACAGTGGTACACCTCTGGCCAGAGTAAAACTATTCGAATAGCCGTGCCCGCGGTTATGGGCGGGTTGAGCAATGTTTTTCGTGATTAGTCTCACACCTCTCACAATAATTATGGATGTTATACCTGGTAATAATTTGCTTAGCTCCTGGTTTGGAGTTAGATCTGTACAGCCGGGTATGGTTGTTCAGGATGGTTGGGCCTGTGCAGCATGGGTGTGTTGTTCAGTGTTGATTAAAATTTCTGATTAATTACTCCACTGTTTTACTTCTCCTAAATGTTTTGCTAAATGCTGCTTTTGCAAATGAGCATATATTATGCCATCCTTTGGTATCCTTGTGCACTTGCATATTTGCTGTGTGGCTTGTTGAGTATGTCATATGCTCATTCTTGCAATAATCAATCAACCTCAGTTGAAGAAAAAGGATCCAGAAGGAGAAGACGTTTGGCTTATACCCCAGTTGAGCTGCCTGTGGGAGTGGAGCTGAAGCCATCGCTAGACCGTTAATTCCGCTGCTGTTTTTCTTTTTTTTCGTAAGTATGTAACGTTATTATTATGATGGATTTGTATATTAAATTGTCAGTTTGGGTACCTCGGCTGATTCCTGGACGAGGATTTTATGCATAAATAAGTTCGGAAATTACTAGTGAATTTCCGGGCGTGACAGAGTTGCTGCTCGCTGGCTCGATGCTGCTGTGCTGTGTTTCTTTCGGGCGACAGTGTGTGCATTATGCAGCCAGGAGGAGGGGTAGACGATGGGGTAGTTGGGTTACATAACTTGCATCCAACGGCTGTGATTTTTCAGGGCCCACTTGGCCCATGAGTGTACTAGGATTTCCTATATTCATTCCATTCCCACAGCTGCCGCCTTCATCGTTCTCTCTCTGTCCACATCAACCATGGGATACATTGGCGCTGCGGCTGACATGGACGAGAGCAACTGTACGAGCACCGTAAGCAGCTTCTTCTCCTTCAGATTGGTCTCTTTCCCTCCTTGCGTTCTTCCCATCTCCTTTTCCTCCATCTCCCTCCTCCCTCCCTCCATTTCCCTCCATTTCAATGGCCAACGCGGTGCCGCGACAAGCAAGCGCTCCTCCTACCTTGCTTCTCCGTAGCTTTGCTTCAGTGCTTGTCTTGCACTGCTTATACTTTCACCTGATCGAAACTCTTGCCTCCGCTCTAATACATGGTTTTGCCCCTCTTGTGGTGGAATACCTAGGCGTCGCCTCGGCGTGTCTAGTCGCTAGTCGCTAGTCGCTGGGTAGCTGCTTGACTAGCGCCTTCTTGAACACTGTGAGCCATGCCTTTCTTATTGCTCCATTGTATGCATTGAAATTCTTATTATATATTGACACAATTAGGTGCCCAAACTGGCAGGTATCGATGCACTGACTATGCATTGTGCTGGCAGTAGGGCTAAGCTAGGGGGATCATATTGCTGGACTGGTGACAAGTTAAATGTTTGTTAAGGTACAAGTCATTTTATTGAGTTCGCAGTATTGGGTGCTACACTCCGGAGTCTGCGGGTCGGACATTCTAGGTCCCTGTCCGTAGTGCCCTTTGGTCGCTTGGCATGCCTATTTTGAAGTGACACTGTGTTGTCATGCACTGTCGGTTCTTCTTTCTTTAAACGAAAGCCATGCAACTCTCCTGCCAGGGAAAAAATGGTATTGGGTGCTACAGAACACGTTTCTTGATCTTTTGTGCAATTTAACTTCTGCTGACTTAGTGAACACGTTTCAAGTAATTCATCATCCTGTGGTTTGACATGATAATTTTGCATTATTGGTAATAAAAGATAATATTTGTCCCCAAAAGGCCTTACTGTGGGCAACTCTAGAACCTTTTCCATAGTATCATAGCCATGACCATGAGTTTTTATGTACTCCATGGTCCACCATGCTTATATTTATCTTTGGTTTTTACTGTCTGTTTCCTTTACCATATGTGACGTTTGCTGTTTTGGTTCTTGCAGGTAGACCATTGCGCCTCTTGTATTCTCCAAAGACAAAGATGTTGCTGCTTTCGCTTGCTGAGGCTACTTGAGCTACTTCGTCTCTTAATTTGCTCCCCAGATGGAGCAAATGATGCTATCTCATTCAGTTACAATAATGAAATACTCCTATATCAGATACCTGTTTGTATTCCGACGGTACAAGCTGATGTTATCAGCCTGGTTTACCGTCTTTTTAAAATGTCGACAAACCTGTGGTGGTGTGATCTGTATGCATGGTACTTGTCCTTTAAGACTATGGGAAAACCGTGTATCACTGTCAGTTTAGCTTGGGCACATGATTACCAATGGGAATTTTCTGAACAATTTCATCCTCGTTTGTCTTTTTTTTCCTGTTGAGCTGAGCTTGATCTGAAGCTACTCGTCTGTTTCTAATTCTTTTTAGGATGCAGTTTGAATTACAGAACCTGCAGGATCTGGTATTCCAAGAAAAACTGAATTATCGATTGCTGCCGGAAGGAATTTCTGATTTTGAATGAACATTTGGCAGAAACATCTGAATTTCAACTGATTCTGACTGAAAATTTGGTAGCAAATTAGAATCACGGCGGTTACTACTTATTAGCGGGCCCGTAATTGTGGGCTTGTGGCCAAGCTGGGTAATTTGAAGCCGGGTAAAACGCCGTTTTCCTTGGTGCTTAATTAGTTTAGCCTTGCTTTGCTGAATTTTGTGTTCTGTCACTCGAAGCAACTCATATTTGTGCATGCAGTTTGTTCGTACTTGAACTACATATTATGGTTTGCACAATACACTTTTGACATACAAAGGATTCAAGAATCCAGTAAGCAAATAACTCAAGTAGGACTAGTATTCAAATATTCAATTCAATCAAGAATCAAGTACGCTTCAGTTCAACCAATTAACAATTAATTAATTTTACATACACTCGTTTTAAATTTACATTTAGTTAAACCAATCAATAGTGATCTCAACTAAAACACTTGTTTCTGCATACATCTGGCATTCAGAAAGAAGTTGACACAGTTACTTGACGTGTACAGTCCATGAACAAGAAACACTCAAGAGAAGTTCAGTCTTAGGGAGTCTGAACTTGATCCGCACATGCAGAGAACACTTTTGGCATAAGCAAATAATTATTGCAACCTAAGCATATTTAATCCAAACAATCAATGACTAATGATCTCAGCTCAATTAGCTCAGTCCATGACACATACTCTCAAGTCTGAACTCCATCCCATCTCAGGGAAAGCATGTCTGAACACAATCCAGCTCATAACACGAATGTTTCACCATTCTTGAACTATAACTTTCAGAAGTTGATACTTTTGATGCGCTGCAATACTTGGTGATCACAAGTCCAGACATTTCAAACCGAATATGTACATTTCATACTCGATTTATTCAGAGAATGCAGTCAACTCTTGTCAGCGCGTTTGCAGCTACCGATTGTTCTGATGATCACAGATCAACCAATGGCCATGTATTGTACCTTGGACCCCAACTTAATTTCCTGGTGCTCATGTAGAGTTGTTTTGGTGCAGCCCCTGATCAAGGAGCTTAGTGTTTACCAGCTTGCAGAAATGTGTACTCTGACACTGAAAATGCCATTTGAGAAGCTTTGGTGCAATCAGAACCTTGTTGATCTCGGTTAAAATTGAAGGGAGCTGTTAAACAAAAATGTGCATACAAAACAAAAAACAGTAGCATAGCCAGCTAGCTGTTGCTGTAATTCTGTTCCAAAATTACCCGCATCAGCTTCAACATCACAACTAGCCAATGCAAGTCTGAACTTTTCTGAAAAATAAATGACCAACTCAAGTTTGAACTTCTCTGAAAAATAAACAACAACCTCAACTCTGAACTTCTCTGAAATTCAGACTTGAGAATCTGAACTGAATCAAACTCATGCAGAGTACTTTTGCACAAACAAAAGAATCAAGTAAATATTTTATTCCCATGAATAAATATTACAAAAATTTCTACTTCAGCACATTTGGTTCAACCAATCAATAACTAATGATCTCAGCCTATTACCAATACCTGAACTTCTGAAAGATTTTATCCATGCTGAGTAAAACTGACGAATCGAAACATGCTAGAGTTGCTTGTATTCAATTCAAACAGGACAATGTTGTGCCACCAGAACAATGTGACAATTAATTGACATGTACAGACCATGAAACAGAAACTGTCAACCCAAGTCTGAACTTTTCTGAAATTCACAGACTTGAGAGTCTGAAATGAATCCAACTCGTGCAGAGTACAGTCTTGGCATAAATAAATGAATCAGGCAAATATTTTATTACCATGAATAAAGATTACAATTAGTGTTACTTAAGCATATTTTATCCAACCTATCAACAACTAATAATCTCAGCTTTGCTAATAAATACAAGCCATCAGAGGACTAAGCTCCTATACATCTCTGCTTCTATATCTACAGAAGAATCTCTTTCCTTCAACAAATGACAATGTCACTGCTAATCCATCTCTAGCTCCATAGATCGAACAGCTCATCATCAATGGTGAAGTCGATGCAGCTCAGGTCGTCCATTGTCTCGGCGAAGTCGATGCAGCTCAGGCTATCCATGCTGTCTGGAACTCCAAAACCAATAGCCTCCACGTCCATGACGCCCGATGAGGAGTGCTCCTTCTGCTTGTCCGGCGACGACATCATGGACCCTGCACCATTGCTGGCGTCAACTTCGGCTTCATTGCCGCCTTTTGCGGGAGAGTCGACCGGATTGCGCGCGGCGTACTCAAGTGGAACCTTCAGCTCAGCCTCATAGTACCCGGAGCAGCTCTGATCAGAGTCATTGGGGAGGTCCACCACTGCTGAAGGAGGAGGAACGGAGCCGGAGCAGCCATGATCGGCGATGTCAGAGACAGAGTCATCGTGATGGTTCACCATTGCTGCAGGAGGAAGAACGAGCTCCTCGATCAGAGCAGTCTCTGACACGGCGCTAGTGCAGCTCTGGCCATCCATGGCGGCAAAGTCAAAGCAGCCAACCATGTCATCCAGGCTCTCTGGAAGCTCGAAGAACATTGGCGCCTCATCATTTTGGTTGTGCTGCGATGACACCCAAGACGATGCCGGTGCTGCACGGCCACCGCCGCCACCGGCTTCTGCTGGAAAGTTCAACGGGTACATCATGGAAGAATCATCCATGCTCTCTGAACCTCCAAATTCAGCAAACTGCGCCGGCGCTACGCCACCACCGCTGTCAGCTTCAGCATCAGCTTCACAGCTTCCTTGTGGCAGAGAGACGAACAGGTTGCTCGCGGCGAACTCAGGCACAAAACTCTGCAGCTCATCCTCATCGATTGACCCGGTAACATCAGAAAACAACAGGGTAGAGTTGTCCCCCACGCCAGAGCAGCTCTGATCGGCGCCGTCAGTCTCATTGGGAAGGTCCACCACTGCTGCAGGAAGAGGAAAGGCGCCGGAGCAACCTTGATCGGCGTTGTTAGAGGCATAGCCATCGTCATGGTTCACCATTGCAGCAGGAGGAAGAAAGGGCTCCTCTGGTATGGCGCTAGTGCAGCTCTGGTTGTCCATGGCGGCGAAGTCAAAGCAGCCAACAATGTCATCCATGCTCTCTGGAAACTCAAAGAACACTGGCGCCTCGTCGTTTTGATTGTCCAGCGATGGCGCCGATGGCAAGACGATCAGCTCGGGAAGATTAGCAAACACCACGCCGGAGCAGCTCTGATCATCCATGTTCTCTGGACCTCCAACATCAGCTAACGACGACACAGATTGCGCCGGTTCAGCTTCATGGCTTCCTTCTGGCAAAGAGACGAACAGGTTGCGAGCGGGGAACTCAGGCACAAAGCTCTGCAACTCATCCTCATAGATTGACCCGGGTTGATCAGAGAACACCAGGGAAGAGTATCGATCGGTGACGTCAGAGTCATTGGTATGGTGCACCACCGGTGCAGGAGGAGGAACGGCACCGGAGAAGCCCTGATCGGTGTCGTCAGAGACACAGTTCACCATCGCTGCAGGAGGATGAACCGGCTGTGGCGGCGGCGCGCTGTCCTCGAGCATAGCAGTCTCCGCCACTGCGATCTGGTGGTTGTCGCTCTGAGATTCCGGTTCCCTCTTGCGCTTCTTGCCGTGGCCGCTGAACCGGATGCGATACAGCCGCGTCGTCGACGACGCGAGGTCAGCCGGCGCCGTGATGGCGTACTCGTGCATCACCCACCCCGAGCTCCCCTTCTCGCCATCCGCGAAGTAGCTGAGCACGTACTTGCGCCACGCGATCTCCACGCCGCCGCCGCCGCCACCATCGGGGACGACCAGCCTCTCACCATCGACGCACATCCTCTGCCCCTGCCAGTACCCTCCGCCCTCGACCGTGCGCTTCTGCCGGCTCCCCTTGCCGTTCTTGGCCCGCGCCTCGGCGAAGAAGAACGCGTCGTCGCCCCTGCCATGATCCGCAAGAAGCCTCCATGGCGGCGCGCAGAGGGGATCGGCGTCGAGGATGACGCCATGGAGAGGGAGGGGCTTACCCTGGATGCGCGCGAGGAGGAAGCGGGCGACGAGCTCGTCGTCCTTGGGCTCGAACCTGAGCCCCGGCGGGAGCCCATCTCCAGCCGCCGCCGCCATGGATCGATCCGCAGGAGAGGAGAGGAATTTCTAGGGTTTGGGAGGAGGGTTTGGTTGGGAAGAGAGGAGAGGCGATTCGAATCGAGGAGGGGATGGGGATGTGAGCAACGGATAGGAGGCTATTTAAAGGCGGCGGCTTCGCGGGATCAGCTCGCGCTCGCGCGCGGAAAGATCAGGTGTGGTTTCCCATTTTTGGGAAAGTTTGATGAAATATCTTGTCTTTGCGATTCGATATGAAAGTTATTTAGAAAAAAAATAGCTTCAAAATTCGAGGTGAGATTGGTTTGAATTTTGCAGTTCTGCTCAAGCTATACATGCGTATTACTGAAGGTGACACTGAACAAATGATCTTTGCAGCCTACTAGCTATTGCAGTATTGCCAATTGCTGAAGGCCTGAAGCTGACACTGAAGAATGGAGCCATAAGAAAGATTCAGGGTGAATATCACAAAATTTTTTTTTTTGACGTATTGAGCAAATCCAGCTGTTGACGAAGTTCGAAGTCTGTTGATTTGTCTTTTGTCTTGAGGAACACTGATGAGGTTACCGCCCGTTGACACAGTTCTATGTTCTTAACTCCTCTGAAGTTCAGACTTTAGAGCCTGCACTCAATCCAAATGATGCAGAGTAAACTTTTGGCACAAACAAAAGAATCAAGTATTTTTACTGCCTTCATTGGAGATAATCAGACAAGAGCCTAAAATAATTAATGCAACATAAGCACATTCAATTCAACCAAATC